TGCCTGGTGTCCCTCTTCTTCCAACCTGTCGGGGCTGTCCATGGTCGTCTATCCGTCACCCGGGTCCAACCCGGTTCTTCCACATCCATCCGTGTCTCCTCCTCTCTGGCACTTAGGTCGATCATCTCCTGGGCGCATTCGAGGAACGATCGCTCTCTGGGCAGTCCGTCCCTCTTCCCCGTTTCTTTAGCCAGCTGGACTTTCAATATTGTCGACAGAAACTCCATCCTGGCTTCGACCTCTCCCACGCTCATTGTTTCCCGCATCTTCTCGGTTATGCGATTGTACTTCGCCACGAGTACTCCCGCATATTGCCCCCTTGACTGTCGTTGGGCCCGCCGCTCCCTAAACATTTGGAATATGTCCTCTTCCGGTGTCCACCTACCTCCTCCAAAAGCCTTCTTCAGCCGCTCCTTAATCACCGGCCACGGAGTCTCCTCGTCCGCTTGGATCTGGTTCAGGACGTTCCTCCTTACTCGGCACACAAGAGCTGCTTTTAGTTCTTCAGCGTCCCCTAGGTTCACCAGGTCCTCCGCCACCTTCACCTCGATTCTTGACATAAGACGATCTCCGCCTTTCAAGAAATGGTTGAGCTCGCCTACCTCGCCTCCGAATCGTTCCAGGTCCGCAATGGCCCTCCGTAAGTCCTGCGTGGTTGTTGCTCTTATTTTCATCCATTCCAAGGCATTGGCGTGTGCTTCTGCCAACGTGTCCCTTGGTAATGGAGGGATCTCCTGGATCTGAGGGATCTGTGCTACCTGAGGGACTTGAGGTATCTGAGGTACCTGAGGCGCGATCTGGGGTACCTGATTGATCTGTGGAATATCCTGAGGTTGAGGAATTTCCGGTACGCTTAGTACTCCCGGTCTAATCAATCCTTCTGTCGGCATTTCACCTTTTCCTTAAACACCAAAAAAAAAATATCTACTTAAAAAAAAATTACTTCCCTGACGTTGTCCCGGGTTTCGGCACCAGTTAAGCGTCGTCGGACTTAGAAATCAAAAAAAAAGAAGGAAAAGGGAAAAGATGTAACATACACGACTTCTGAAATAACACTGCTTTATTCGTTCCATAAGCCTCCTTATATACACTTAGCCTGTTTATTTACATTACCAGATAGTATTAAGGCTGATACCGCCAGTCTCCGGTCTTTATCTTATATATATATATATATGTATTCAATTTGCCTGATCTTGTTTTATAAAGAAAATGAAAATATTTTTTTATTATCCTGGGACTGTTGTCCCTTTAGGACAAATTACAGATACAGAATAAATGCCTGTGTGGCCATACATAAAATTAATTATTTACAATTCTTATTAAGATTAAGATTTTGGAAAAAGAATAAAACAATTACACTAAAAACATACTGATATGTATAATACAAACGTGGGAAAATAAAATTGCATAAGTAAAGAAAATCATTTCTGGGCGGAACTTTAAAAAGTCCTCTTATCTACAATTCATGATCAATCGGGTTGGAAAAGGAGTTGGTGGTTAAAAAGGAGAGATTTAAATGAGGAAACTGATTGTACATATCTAGAGGGATGGTATTCCAGAAGGAGACGGCTTGAATTATAAAGGATTTGTCAAACGCTGCAGTTCGGTGGAGAGGTGGATCGAGGTCGGAGGTACGAGATCTAGTGAGACGGGATTGAATGGAATATTTGAATTGTAGGCTGTGAAAAATATAGTTCTGATGACTTGGTATAGAAAGGTAGCAAGGAAGTACAGACGGCGGTTGGATGGATAGAGCCACTTCAACTTGGTTTAATACTGGGTTATATGCGTATCTCTTGAGATTTCGAAAACAAAACGTATCGCGCAGTTCATTAGGCGTTTAAGTTTGGCCTCGAATTCTCCTTAATTAATTATACTTAAAAATATATATTTTTTAACCAAATAAAGAATTAGAAATATGTTTTTAGTTCAATATGAGTAAATAATAACAACCCAGCCATAATTAGATCTAATACTGTAAGGATATTAAAGTGATTGTGTACAAACTGCTGGTATGATATATATTCAATTTGCCTGATCCTGTTATGTACTTAAAAATATATCCATGTTATATAGAAAAAAAAAATATTAAAAACGTGTTATTGTTAAATCTCTTAACGTGTTATTGTTCGTGTAATTACATTTAATAGGACTTCGAGAATCACTTAAACATCATTTCATGTAGGTAGTTAATTTCTTTCTTTTTTTTTCAAATTAATTATTGTTGTATATATGAAAAAAAAATCTTTCGGGCTGAAGTCCCCCCCCCCTAAATTAAATCCTGGATCCGCTAGTGATTGTGTACAAAATGCTGGTATGATATATATTCAATTTGCCTGATCTTGTTGTATACTTAAAAATATATATTTTGGAATCAAATAAGAAATTAGAAATATGTTTTTCGCTCAATATGAGTAAATAATAACAACCCAGCCATAATTAGATCTAACATTGTAAGGATATTAAATAAATATAAACAACATTTGCTAGAGGGTGAAAAGAAAGCATAGCATAATTCAGCTTATAGTGAGCATTTGAACCTTTTTTTTAATAGAGATCAGATCTCCAAGTATTTGTTGATGCCGGCTAACTTCAAACATACCAATTATTAATGCAGATCCGCCTCACGGAAAAATACATGATTAAAGTCTTAATTCACAATAAAATTATAAAAATAACTCCACAACTTGAGTGCAAAATTTGCAACATTAAGAAAAAAAACACACTTTATCATGCTTCATTTAAGTGCCCATTATATAATTGTTTGAGAGTAAGAAATGGGATAGAAATATTTAAGCCAACCACTATAGATGATATGAGAAAATTATATTTCTATATCTCTAATATATCTAACAACAGAGATTCGTTAGAGTAATCTCAAATATTGTCTTTTGAATATTTCAGCGAAAATGTAGATTGGATATCGGCAATCTGCTCCGGTCTTGTTTCCTTTTCTATATGTAAATAAACTGTTAATTTTATTTTAAAATATGTTTTAACATTAATATTTAAAATATAAAATGTATTTTTTTTTTTGTGCTCTATTTACAATTTAAGATTTTATATTGATGTTGATAATTATTTTATTTGCATTTTAATATATATTGATAATTATTATGTATCATTTTAACTGTTTGATTTTTTACGAAATATGATTTGTTACTTATAATTAACTCTTTTATAATATGTATAATGTAGCATTAAAAATAAAAAAAACATTGTATTACCATAAGGACAGTAATGTTTATAATACAAAGATAGACTCTATTTGTATGATTTTCTTTTCTCAAAACAAATAAAGATCAAATAAATAAAATATGAATAAATAAAAAGAGAACAAATCAAAACTTGAAATGTATAACATTTAAAATAGCTAGTTTTACATTATTACAATTAATATCAATTTCCTCAATTTTATTGGTCAAAATTCGACCTTAATCGTCATTGAAACTTTGAGGAAAGCATGAATGAATTTGCATGTTTCCAACATTTTTTTTTCTACTCTTATATATTCGTATATAAACCTAGAATATAAAATAATGAATTAAGGTTTTTGTAATTTTTGAGTTATTCGCAAATAAAATTCTGAATCCATACTCGAGAGCTCCACCTGCCGTAGACCCGCTATCAATGTGTAATTGTAACTGTATTTATTTAGTTTATATACATTTACTTTCAGTACTATTATATTGCTGTTTATTTATTGTGCAAAGCATGAATGAGCTACTTTTTATCACTATTACTATTGTCCTTAAATGTGACAGGTTGTAATTTATCTCAATAAAAAAATTTCCAATGTGTGAGGAAATTATTTTTTAAACTTTTAACTTAAATTATTATATATAATAATTTTATATATATATATGTATATATATGGGGCTTCTGCCTGAAAGCTCCACCTCTCGTAGATCCGCCTGTGCATTGCATAAAATATTAATGTGTAAGGAAATCATTTTTTTAAACTTTCAACTTAAATAAAACTGAAACTCTGAACATTTTTAGTTACCTTGAACCGATAATATGTTTAGTATAAATCTATGAATCTCGAGTATGACCAGACGTTCCGCTTTTTAGCAATATGTCCCGATTTTTGGCGGCCAAGTAGCTATTTCGCGAGGATCTGTGTTTTATATAATTTATTTTGATTTTTTAATATTAAACTTTAATAATAACGAATAATTGTTAAGAACTGATTACCGAGAACTGTTTAGCAAAATTAGCAATGTTGATCAGTTGTTTAGAATTCGACAAAAATTGTTTGGACTCAATGATAATAAGCAACTCGGAAATTATCTTTTTAATGAGTTATCGTTATTTTAAAAAGTTATTGATAAGGAAAAGTTTAATTCTTGGACATCAGCAAATTAACTTCATTTATTACTACAATTGCCGAAATGTTTTATAGCATTTCAATAAGTTTTATAGCATATTTAAAAAGAGCTGCTTGATTGTGTACAAATTGCTGGTACAAGACATTAAAGCCTTTGAAACTGTGTTATTATTGAAGTCATAAATTAGGCGTCAAATACATTATGAAACTATTTGCTCTCAAAAATATTCCTTTAGAACTAAATTCTAAACCTTACTTCTGCTGAATACTATGCCACCTGCTTAACATTTTAACCACATTATCATTATGTAAAAATAATTATTGTAATAAAAAATTGGGACTTGATGAACCAAATTTCTAATCAAGAACTCTTCCACCCGGTCAATGGTGCCCCGCTTTACGAATGTTAAAATCTGTTCACCTTAAGTACGAGTAAATTCGAAATTGATTGGTTCATCATAATAAAAATAAAAGTTTAAATATTGCGAAAAATAGATGTTTCAAATTCGTTTTCTTTATTCGTTAACATTCATAATGGATTTCTAGAGTTTAGCTCACACTATGTATACCTGCTAGAGAAATATATTTTAATTTCGAGCTAAAAAAAACAATAAAAAGTATAATTTATAGCCCAGGATGTATAAAATAAAATATAAAAATTATTACGTACCAGCAATGGTATTTAAAAACATCAAGTACTCGAAATTGGAAATTTCTCTTCTCTGCCATTTTTGGGTCATGTTGGAATTTCTCATGAGTTGTCTTGGAGACATCATAGAAGCTCTCCTGAAAATTTGAATGGTATTATAATCATATTCTTACAATAATACGTTTAATATTGAACGCCATTTAAAAGAAATAACGATAAATAGATAAAATTAATTACCTTGTTTGCGGTATGCCGTATTTTATACCTACGCCAACTCTTGGCAAAGCTTTGATGACACGTTTGACAGTTGTCTGATCCGGGAATGCAAACATAATGGATGCTATAAAATAATAAAAACATATTAGCAACTATAAAAAAAAAAGAAGATAAAAACATAAATATATCAGATACCATTTGTTTTGTTGGTGATAGACTAATCGATAAAAGATAATTATCACAACTTGGGTAATATCATATTGATACTAGTGTAAATTGGCAGACCTCATTGAACAAAAACTTTTCAGGAGTAAATAGTTTCTTCTAATTAACCGAGAGTAAATCTTCTAATTACCTTACTGTATTAGAGCAAGAATACAGTTCTTGTGTCAATTAAATTTTATTTTAAACCATACAAATTCTTGATAGTTGATTAAAACTTGACTGTCTTGGATATACTGAAGAGGAGTTGGTAGGAGTGTTCAGTCAAAGGTGACAAATTAAAAATAAATAAATTGTATTTATATCAAATTATATTTCTCTCCTTTAGTCCCTTTTTAAAACAAATAAAAATTTAATTCCAGTCTTTTGAAAGCGTTGGTGATTTGAGGCTTTCACTTATTATAATTAGTTTTTATAAGATTAAATATTAATTCCTATAATGGGAGATAAATATTCAGGAAGTAGTCATTATAAGGTTTTTATTAGTGCCGACGTTTCAACCCAAACATGTGCGTCATCATCAGGGTATGGTTCGAGTACTAAAGCTATTCAAGTACTCATTGGAGTACTTGAAAATTTTCAGTGCTCGAACAATGTCCTAATGATGACGCACATGTTTGGGTTGAAACGTCGGCACTAATAAAAACCTCATAATGACTACGTCATGAATATTTATCACCCATGATATGTAAAATAATCGACTAACTTCCTTCAATAATTAATTAATTCCCATACATTTTTATATATCATTTATGATATTTTAGTTTAAAATTGAAGGTTAAAAATATGTTCGGATTTTTCATAATAAGATAAAATTTTAGACATTGTGAATACATTTTTATTTACGATTAAAAACTCAGAATAAAAATTTAGCCATTTTTTAATGGATAAGTTTTCAATGCTGAGCTTTGCGCTAATCCTTTTTGAACAGATTTTCTACCAAGAACTTCACCTTAATCAGAAAAAAAAACCGAATTCTCGTTGAAAACAGAAACGACCAGAAATTGCTAGGTATTTGAAAATAAAGTATTGTGTCGAATATTCAGCGCAAAGAAAGATGAATCCAGCGGTTTAAATGTCAATACGGAGTAGATCATATTGATAACGAACGAGTCCCTAAAAAGGTAATCGCAGAGGGGGTAGACCTAGACGTAGGGTGGGGGGATCAGGTTAAGCCATATATTTAAGATGAAGTTCAACGACATGTGGCATCAGACTACTGTTAGATTTTATTGAAATAAAACTTCGAGCATCCATAGGAAATATTGATGTACTTTTCACTAGTATAGATGACAAGGATTGAGTTGTCTTGAAAGATTTAGATTTGGCCTAATCGGAATCGAATCTCCGGGTTCTTAAGCCTTGTTATCATCAGAAAAAACAAAGTTGTGAATTGTCAATAAATATATATACATATTCTTTTTTTTTTTTTGTTTTTTTCTTTTTCGGTTGGAGCAAAAGACCATGCAGATCATTGACCGCGAGATGTGTTCTCCTAGACCACATCCCGATTCTTGATTAAAGAACACGGGGGTAGGGTCACCAGTCCTACGCCTGGTCGGTGTGAGTTGCCTCCAGTAGCCTGACGGGCCTCACATAGCCGGGTGGGATCTCGGGCAGCGTGGCTTCCACGGTGGACGGTCACCCATCCAAGTGCTAACCACGCTCGGCGTTGCTAAGCTTGGTTACCTATTGCAAGCTCCTTAGCCCGCACGGCTACCCCAGCCTACATATATATATATATATATATATATATATATATATATATATATATATATATATATATATATAAATAATTTAATTGGAGATATTAAAAATTAACTTAATTGCTAAGCAACGAATCTTAGGTAGAATAATGTTGCTTTCCAAAACATAAATAAATCATATTTCTTTTGTTATTAGTAAATAATTTTTCTTTTCGAAATTTAACATTATTGAGCACAGAACTTAACGGAGATATATTTATTAACAGGAGCAGCGTTCTGCATTTTGTCCCACTGTGCACCCACTCCCGGACTATTTATGAACTTGGATTGTAGTATTCCGCACTACCAACCAGACTTGTTCACTCGCTCCCTCTGTAAGGCAGTCTTTGATATTTATTTTCATGTTTTCGCTTCGGCTATCGATCGCTATTGTTTTCCAAGCTGTTCCGCACCGAAGTCAGTAGGTTTTCCAAGGAGAGACCACATCTGTCATTACGAACCCTTTAGAGAGGAATTAAAGCGACGGAATCTAATTAGCGAAGGGTACGGGGGAGGTAGTAGACAGTTGGTCGGTTCCGATGGAAGAGCGCGTGGGAGGGTGGCCGATTGGCTCTGCTCTTCCCCAGCATAATTGGAGCTGAGGGTTTGCCATCATTGGATTTTGCCATCCAACACCCGCCCTAATCCCATTCCCTACGCCACCTAAATCCATCCACTGTTTACATTAAACAATAACAGCCCCTTCATTATCTGAGCTAAGTGTATCAACAAACATTCAATTGAAACAGTAAACAGAGGCAGCAATTCAGTAATGTAAGTAGATCTGAAGTACAGTGTCCGCCTCGAAATTGGGATATGTTTCGACCATTGCACATTGAAGACTTTTTCCTTTATTTCTTTTAATCTTCGACTCCATGTGCAACTGCACGAAATAGAGAATTTAATGTAGCTGATTAAACAGTTGATGTTCCATTCTATGTAACCACCAAAACCCTGCACTATGAAATTAATATCCCATTCGACCTTAGTGTTGCCCAAAATCAGTCTTGGTCTTGCACTTTGCGAGACCAACACCAAGGCCGCTAAATTGTTGCAAGACCAAGACAAGGACTGGTAAAAAAAATCAACTTTTTAAATAAAAATTAATTCAAAAAAGTTACTAATACATGACAATCTTAGTTTTTTTTTTTTTTTTGTTTTTTTTTGTTCTTCCCTACCTCGCCTTTTTAGGCTATACGGGATTTTCCCGGGCCGGGGGGTGAGGGCGGGGAATTTTAAAATCCCCTCCGGCACCGGGACGCGAACTCGTACTTTTTATATCATCTCAAATCTCTGTTATCCGGTTGCCAGGCAACTAGCGGTGCTGTTACACACGCTTTAGCCTATTCGGCCACCCCGCCCCCTGACAATCTTAGTTACTGATTGTTGATAACTGATATAACTAATATAGTTTTGCATTCAACTCCTCTAATTTTTCATTCGGGCTTAGTTAGGTTTCTCCTATCTAAAAAAATACAGTAATATCTCTATAGTAATAAGCTAATAAGTAACTGCAAGACTGTTGCGAGAGTCTTGTGCAAGACCAAGACCATGACCAAGACTGGGTTTGCAAGACCAAGACTCGTCTCGGTCTCGCATTTGGGCAACACTATTCGTCCTAGACCTTGTCCCAGAAAAATTCTCAAAATTTCATCAGAACCTTACATATCATCCATATCCCCTTGCACAATCCTTATCTAGTTCCACCCATCCCAACAATCCTCCTCGAAGGTTGAAGCGGCATTAGCCAAGAGATCTTTTGTGAATAAGCATATATTGGAGTTTTGGCAATGGCCAATTCTCCACTCAAGCCATGTATGTGTGATTATTGCGCCCTCGCTGGTCTTAAATACCAGTAATACGACTGAATAAGAGGCGCTGGGATCTATTAGAGTCCTGCCTTTCCTTCCACGATTGGGGAGAAAGGCTTGGCTCGGAGTCCTGAGTGAATGGATTCTGTAATGTTGTATAGAAGCTCGTGTTTTAGTTGTTATTTTGATTAGTTTACTTTCTTTTGTTTATATAGATTTACTTTTAGTATTATTATTTTTCTGTATTATTTATTGTAAATAGAGTGTGAATGTGCTCTCTGAACACTATTATAAATTTCCTTTATTGTGACAGATTGCAATATCTTTTTAAAAAATACTGGTAAGTAGCTGATTATTTTCTTCGAATTTGCTTGATAATGACTTTAATTTAAATATTGTTGAAAGAGCAGGTCTGGGCCGATTACTTTTTTAACGATTTTGAGCAGTTAACAGTAAGATTTTGAGTTGTAGAGTGTAAATGTAATACATTTTTTGTGGATGAAGGATTTTACTGTAGAAAAGTTTAAATCGTTATGTATAGTGTCATTTTTAATTTTTCGTAGAATTTTTTATTGTGATGTTTTTATTATATTTATGTGCGTTAATTTTATTAAATTCCAAAGTCCTGCCCCGTATGCACAGTGTAGTCTCAGTAAGGTATTTTAGATCGGCCGCTTGTTTCTTAAGTTAATTTCATGTTCTGGCTATGAAGATTGCCGCATAGCTTTGATGGTTGACCGTGATTATAATATGAGAAGGAGTTGGTCGGGCGATGCGGTCATATAAATATTACATTATTAAAATACTATTTAATTCGTTAAGCCGACGTTTCGACCCACTTTGTAGGCCTTCATCGGGGCTACACAATATAAAAGGTACATAGTGAAAATATAATAAATGAATTATTAGTAGGTATTAAATATGAAACTGTTGTCTGATAAAGAAATAATAAGATGACATCTCTGATGTAATATTTATTTTAATACCAGTGAAATGGTTGAGGAAGAAGCGCAGGGATCTCCAGAAGCCTTGCTTTCCCTCCACATGTGGGGAGATAAGTATGGTTCGGAGTTCCCATGGCTGACTGTAAATAGTATAAATAGGTATGCCTGCATCTAAGATGTTTAATTTCATTACTTTTTTTTTTTTAAATACTTTTAATTCTATTTTATTCATTTATTTTCATTATATTATTACTATTATTTATATTTTCTTCCTTCACTATGATATTTTATTATGTTCTTTTATAGCTTTATATTATTTGAAATTAGTTTATTTTTTTGGAATTTGTAAATATGGTGTGAATGTGCTCTCAGAACTCTATTATAAATGTCCTTTATTGAGAC